GACAAATTCAAAATAAGGCTGTTCAATTCCCATTTTATGGTCACTCTATTCTTTTCAGTGCAGCCCTGGAACTCTTATTGTTTTTCGATATTTAGATGGTTTTGTAAATCTGGTCACACTCATCACGCAGGTACATCCACGGTACAGCCTCGGCGAAAAAAGTGTATTGTCTAAATTGTTTCAAGCATTATTTTGACTAGATAACGTTGCAATACGGTGCCCAGTGCGTTGGGAAAGATGACGCGCATAACTAGAAGTGACATATCACTTGATATGGAATGCTGGGTCGAGGAGCTATCCCCAGCCCAGTTAGCATACTACGAGAAAATCACAAACGAGCACAACGCAGTAAAAAATGCGCTTAAGTCAGCCGTCAGTGCCAATGAAGGCAAGGAGCTATTTAATGGTCAAGTGTTTCAGGCGTACTCCTTCAAAGGTAAGGTGCTGCAGGAGCTGAAGGAGGCCACGCTGCCTAAAAAGCCGCCAAAGCCAGAAGTACCACCCTCAGCTCCAGCTGCTGCTGCTACTGGTGGAAGTGGCTCAGGGCGGGGGCGGGGTCGACCACGTCTGTCCTCGAACATTGCCTACTTGGAGTCATCAGACGAGGGCGATGACGATGTGCCGCTGGCTAAGCGTTTAGCTCTATCCGCCGGCAAAAAGGCTGTTGCTGCGCCGGCCACATCGAAAGCGGGAAAAAAGTATGCAAGTGCTGCTGTATCACCCACTGGCAAATCTTCACCACAACCCAAAGGTGGTAAGGGATCCGGTTTGGGATCTAGTAGCAAGTTATTAGGTTCTGGCGAAGCTCCGCCCAAGAACTTCCGTCCTGCAGAGGTTAATTCAGTGGGTGGTTTGGTAGTGGGCAGCAACGATGACAGCGCGAGCAAAGATGGTAAGGATGCTAAGGATGGCAAGGATACGAAAATGCAGGGCAAAACATATCCGTCGCTGGTTGTACTGGCAAAGCCATTCCTCAAGGTTAAAGATATGGCAGCCACGCGCAGCAAACTGGATTCCAAGGTTAAACTTGTACTAATGCTGACACCCAATAAGTTCTGCGAATGGTTGCTTCAAGAAGGACTGTTGCGTGCACAGCAGCACTGCATTAATCATCGCAATAACGAACTCAAGTTAGGTAAGCAGAATTCATTATGACCGTTCTGATCATCATTTCTCTGGATAACACCCAAATATATTGAGCAAGTGCATAACTAACATTCATTATATGTATCCTAGGCGTTTATTCTGATATCAGCAAGTTCCCATATACTGGCGGCTATGTGTGGATCAGCGAATGCTGCCCATATCGATTCGTCTCGGTGTTCAACAATTCGATATTCGAAGGGGCTCAGCATCCGCCAACATTTTTGCTCAAGCTAATATACCACTGGGCCTGTCAGACTAGCATCCAGAACGTTGTGCAGTGGGTGAAGGTGGACAGCGTCTACATCAAAGGCATTTACACGTGGCTTCGTGCTATTTGCACCCTAGCGGTGCATCAAAAGTGCAAAAAACTGGGTGGCCCCGGCAAGTTTGTAGAGGTGCGTTCGAGCAGTTTTTCTCATGAAAATATTTCATTAACCTATATTTGTTATGTATTTAAAGGTGGGTGTCATCTCGTTGGGCACCACGTCGCAGGATGGCGCGCAACGTCAAGTGAAGGTTGAGGTCCTTGGCGTCTACGACTATGCGGACAAATCCATACGGCTGCGTGCCGTAGAGCCAATTACCGATGGTGATCGGAACTATAAGAAACGCTTTCAGGTACAAAGATATATTAATTCCATTTGATAACTTTTCTAATAATGTATTCCATTTCTCATTTCAGGCAATTTTAGAGCCGCTTTCCCGTTGGGTGCACAAGGACAGTACAATTTGCATAGACCTGACTGTAGACAAGATAACTCTCTTTAGCATGGGCTTCAAGAACATTGTACAAGCTGCAGCGACTGACAATGCAGCAAAGCATAATAATTCAGCAGTCATGGAATACTTGCGTCGCATTGTGCCACGCATGTTCCAGAATACCCTTTCGTTGCTGTCGCGCCAGATGATACAACAGTTCCTCGACGAGCTGGTCTGGCGCGAATCTTTTGGAACGTATGCACTGCAAGCATTCAATAATATCATCATACACATTGCCGAGCAGACACGCGTGACCACCAATGAGACCATCACACAACGTCTGTATCAGGTGGGTATCAATAAGCTTACCATTAAATGCAATAAAATTATTCAATTATAATAATCAATTTTTGTTAAACAGGTTGCAACGAATCCGTTTAAAGACTGGAGCGTACTGCCTCCCAATTACAAGGAGACACCGGCCAATGCCACTCCTAAACGCCTCAAGAAACGTTAGTAAATCATCGATAGATAGTATGTAGGCCGTGATTAGTTGTAATAGTTTAATTTTATCATATGGCAGCAGGAGCTGCGGTAAATGCCAAACCCGAATTATATTGTAATGCCTATGCGTTTTGTCACTCCAAAACTAATGTAATTTTCAATGTCCACGTCAATATGCAATTCACATATTTAATTATTTTAATATATTTTTTTTACAATCCATTAACATCGTATGTTCATGAGCGTAATTTAAAAAAAGAAATTATTTTGACCATGTTTGTAAATTAAATTATATTCGTGATATTTTTAAATGAGTCAGCATTTAAAAACTGATTAACATATAATTTTACTTTTGGCATTCTTAAAATGTGTTAACTTGTTCTAAAATGCAGCAAACGAAATAAAAAACAATAACTGAAACTGATTATGAATATATACAAAACAATGTAAAACTGGTACTTTTTATTTGCATTCATTATGATTTTTGGAGTGATATAACGTATACAATGGCATTAACATGATAATAACATTCAACTATGATGGTGGGTCATGATGATTTCAAACATTCCCCCGAAAAGATTGAGACTAAACTAGATTTCCATATCCTTAAGAGCGGCACGCAAAGAATGATCTCGTTAGTTAATGGATAATTATAATGGACCTTATCTTCTCGTTTTGTAGCTATCAGCGATTCGGACTATGTGAATGCAAGCAAGGAATATTCAACTAAAGTGAAGAAGGAGAAGGAGCGTGAAAAGGAAAAGGATATTTTGCCAGCGGGCAGCAAGCGTCGTGGCACCGTCAGCACACCTCCACCTGTTGTTAGTAAGCCCGCTCCTAAGGCGTCTAGCGCTAAGGTGGCAGTAAAACCTGGACCTGCTAAATCGACTACGCCGGTTGCGCCGCCGGCCAAAGTGCCGGTTAAAAAACCTAAGGACACAAAGGAAGAGAAGGAGAAGGTGCCTGTGGTTATCAAAAAGGAGGAAGACGAGCTGAAGGGCCTTGAGGAACTGTACTATGGCATTAGCGATGGCACCGAAGAGTTTTACGAGCATTTTCCATATAGCTCGCCCCGAGCTAATCCAGCGGAGCTAACCAGAACAGTAGAGTGTCCGATTTGCTTGAACGGCGAAACCTACGATTCCAACGAGAAGCTACAGACTCATCTGGTGTCGCACATCTCGCCCGAGGGCAAACAACACCAGTTCCAGTGCCTCTTTTGCCTGGAGAAGCACGCAACCGAATCTGTGCTGGCCAAGCACAATCAAATCATGCATCCTACCGAAACCAAGACAGATGGCTCGCCATCCTATCATTGCTTGATTTGCCAGCAGCGGCACAACTCTCTGCATCTGCTGACCGCTCATCTACAGAAGGTGCACAGCACTCTCGAACTGCCGTATTGGTGTCACTCCTGCGGCTATCGTTCTTCCTCGCATCGCGATCTGGTGCGGCACTTTTACGACGACCACAAGAACCAAAACTTTTTGCAGTGTCCCTACTGTCTCGATGTAAGTGAAATCTCTTCGTTTCTCATCTGTTTAGCAAACTAAATAAATTTCTTGCAGATCTTTTACTTCACGCACAAGGGCAAGGTCAATCAACTGCGTGTTGAGCATTACTTTATGCATTTGGATGAGCATGTGAACAAGCGTGATCCGTCGTTGCGCTGCCAGAAATGTTCTCTGAGCTTCTTGGAGAAGGGCGACTTGAAGCAGCACTCTGTCTTGCATCACGTCAGCATGACCAAGACGAATAGACCAGTTCGCATGCTGTTGAACAACTCTCTTCTGATTCCGCCGCCCAAGGTTCGCACTCATCATCGCGAGCAGCCGCCATTCTCGACGTACAAGCGACCAGTTTTCTTTGCTTTCCTTGAGGGCAAAACGTGCGCAGAGTGCAATACAGATATCGCCAGTGAGGAGACGCACTACACGTAAGTACCACTAGACAGAATATCAATGATTGTTAACTGACTTTCTTAATGCTCAACAGCGGTTGGCTGCACTGCGTTAAGTGCAATTATCAGACATGCTGCGAGCGCGCTCAATTCCGGCATGGGGTGGATTGTAATGGTAATTTCGTGGATGCCATGGAAGTAAATATGCCGCAGGAGATGCACTGCATCTGTGGCTTTGCCACCAGCAATGGCAACAAAATGGCACAGCATTTGGCTAGCTGTGGTCTGAGCACCTGTTACCCCAGCGTAGAGGCGGCCAACGAGAATGCCGTCAAGCGTAACATGCTAGATATGTTGGGTCTGGTTCGTCGCGACGGCGAAACGTCAGGCGAGGGCGGTGAAATGGGCGATGATGCCATGGACGACAATAACGATATGATACCAACACCAGAAGATGGCCAACAGCAACAGTTGGAGCAGCAGCAGCAGCAGCAACAGCAACAGCAGCATGACAATCAGCAGCAGCATATGCAGCATCATCAGGAACCACCTCAAGCCCCGCCAGTGGAAATGCAAACAGATGAACAGCAGCAAGGGGAATATATACAGTCTCAACCTGTGCCTGAACAAATGTCCCATCTGGCTGAACAGCAGCAGCAGCAGCAGCAGCAGGAGCAACAACAGCAGCTACAGCAGCAACACCAACACCAACAGCACGCTACGCCAATACAATTTGGAGAAATGGAGGCGGCGCCTGTCATGCTGGATCCGCAAGTTCAAGCAGCCGCCGATTACGCTCAGGTGTCTGTGGTGCAGCAACAACACCACCAACAACAACCATATGCAATGACTGGCTACGGCCAGAGCGCGCTCTCAACAGATATTGATATGCCCCTAATTGGTGAGCTAGCTGAGCCCAATGCGCCGCCAACACCCCAGTTTCTCGGTGAGGTGCACACACCCATGTTCGATGCAGTGGCCGCAGCCGAGCAGCAACACTATCATGCTCAGCAGCAGCAGCAGCAGCAGCAACAACAGCAGCATCTTCAGCATCATCATCACCATCACCCCCAATGATACAAGGCGATGGGCAAGCTTAAACCACGCGATTACACGCTGCCTTGGCAGAATTACTAGAAATAACTTCACCAATTTACAAACACACATTCATGTATATTGTTGAGTATAAATTGTATTAATTTACATACATTACAATTTTGTAGATGAGCATCAAAATATTGCACAGTAAATATTGATCGACGCTTGCAAAACTTTAAAAACATATAACATTAACTGTCCATATGCAACTCATAAACGCAAAATAAAAAAAAAAAAAATAAAAATATTATAACCACAATTTCTTCTATTACTGCGAAAAATTGTTAAATCAGTATGTACAGGACATTTACAAAGAGGACGTGGTACATTTTAAAATTACATTTAACGATATAATTTTGCCTTACTATTTACTGTTTACTGCTTCTGTTATTATTATTATTATTATTGCGAAACCTTCGAAAAGTTATGATAGACTGGTTGCTCCCTGACTGAGCCAACTGACGTCCTCGAAATACTTATGTTGGTGAGATTGATTTTTACATGTTTGGAACTGTCTGATTATTGAGGTCGAGTTTGTGATCTTGATCCTTGGTCATTTATTCTGCTGTCTTTGTTTGGACTTCAATAGAGCGGACAGTACAAGCGCTGTGTCCAGCTCCTGTTGTGTGCCTGGTTCGTTGTCCAGCGAAATCTCAGCAGCACGTTCATGGAAACGCGCCAAAACGCGTGGGCGGTAATCTGAGAAAGAAATCACTTTTAAATGGATGTCAGCGACAGAGTATAAATTGCAAGTTTGTTGCTTAAGTCTTCTATTTTGTAGCGCCCATTAAGCTGGCTGCTATAAAACTCCACACACTCACCCACACTTCCTGCCAGAGGATTGCCAGTGAGGCATAGCGTCTCCAGGAGCGGCAGATTAGCAACATGATCCACCTCATCCAATTGCTCGATAAGATTGCAGCTCAAGTCCAGATTGACCAAGGAGAGCAGTTTGCGCAATCCGCTTATCGATTTGATTTTGTTCTGTGCCAATTTAAGAGTCACAAGATTTCCCATGGAGAGGTGCCAGTCGACACAGTCGGATATTAAATTGCCTGACAGCGAGAGCAGTTGTAGGTGTGGCAGCTCTGCCAGATTCTGTATGGCGCGAATGCGATTTTGCTCCAGGATTAGACGACGCAGTTTGGGCGCAGTGCGTACACTGCCATCGATTTGTGTGAGCAGATTGCCCGTCAAGTCCAGCTCGGTTAGCTCATTCCACGCATCTGTATTGAGCAGAGCATCCTCGCTATTGGATACCGCGGGGTCCGGCAGAAGACTGGGCACATCACAGTTCTTATGCAGATTGTCGCAAAGGAGCACTTGATTAATGTGGGTAATTGTGGTATTGTGCACACAAATCGTTTGCAATGTCGGTTTTAAAAGCTCTATGTCCACGATATTCTCGGTGGAGAGAGCTGAAAATTTGAGTGTTCTGAGATTGCGGAATGCGTTCAAGTTGAAGCTCAAGCGGTTAGGAATGATATTGCTGCGTCCAATTGGTACATCCACCGTGTTGTAATCCTGAGCGAAGCTGGCATTATCCTTGATAGGCGTCACGACCAGCGACTCCAACTGCGTGCTAAAGTCCAGTACGTGCGAAAAGTCAAACTTACCACCTTGCTCATTACTGGGCGGGCAGGGCAGAGCGAGCCGTTCACTGATGGCATATATCTGGAAAGGTACAAGAAAATATTGATTGATAATAGCAACTAGTTGTAGCAAAAGTTTACGCTTAAGGGAAACAATCTCAGGTCTCAGTTCGCACTCCTCATTCTTTAGGTAGACCATTAGCAGCCTGTAGAGCAATAATACTCCCATCAGTCTACGCTGCTCCTTTGTAAATTTGCTGCGGGCCACACCGAAGTAGACGCCCACTCGTCGGTTGGTCAAATGATTAATGCCCAAGGCATCGATCATAGCTGCCTCACGGGTGTGTGCGTCATTTGATGAGATGCCACTAAAGCTGCGCAATAATACAACGCCACGGTTCTGCTGCCAAAGATGTACAATAAGTGCCAGCTTGGGATCCTTAGCCAGTATGACTGGATTGGCAGAGCGCAATAGCTTATGGGCTTGATATAAGTGAACGTATGGACGCGCCGCCTTTCCCTTGCCCACATAGAAAATGGAGCGAAGAAATGTGAGCCACACGTCGACCTTGTGCAAGTACTTGGCTCTTGGATTTCTCAGTCCATCGGTAATGCGGGAATCAAGTAGCAGATAATTGAAAAATAGGCGTTTGCTTTTATCATGCCGCGAAAACCACCTACGATGCCGCTTGACCAGATTGGAATGCTTTCCGATGCTTGCAAAGCTACTCTCCGACTGAAGAGTATATTGCAGCTCATGAGAGAAACTAGTCGAAGGTACGTGTAATTCGCCTAAAGAGTACTTGATGCCGCGAATCTGTACAAATTGGTGGACGAGAGGACGATCTCGAAGCATGGTTAATACGGCGACTAATAATTTATACATGGTAGTGCATCTACCGTTAAATAAATGTTTCAGTTAAATTATTAAAAAAAAAAAAATTAGTAAAATAGAATTGAATATGTGAAATTAGAATGTAAAATAAAAATATACATATGTATGTTAACAAAATTGAGTTTTTGTAAGTATAACCTACCTCTAGGGCTGAAAAACTGTACTCCTTTTTGGCACTCAGCAGCGCATCGCCACTTTCGTGAAAAAGCTTGGCAAGATCTTGTAACAGATAGATGATATCGTACTTGTTGAAATCCAAGAATTCAGCCAACAGACGTGGCAGTTCCTTGCCAAAATGGGTGAGTAGCTTTTGCAAATAGGTTTCCAGTTGCTCGCGTCGCTGTTCTAAGAACGCAGGCTGCTTATTGCCCACAAGCTGCAAATAGATAGAAACATTCAATTTTTTCCAAGAGCTGTCCCTAATTCATTTTCAGTGGGCGTACCTTCTTTGGCGGCAACAATTTTTTGATGATGGATATATCCTCGACCAATTTATCGTGCAGCTGGGCAAAATCACGATATCGTCGCTCCACAAACCAATCCACATTGCCCACACGAACCTGTTGCTCCAAGCGATTAGTAATCTTGGTAGTCATTTCAAATATTTATAATTAATACCTTGATGTCATAATACGTGATCCCAGCTGAGCTTTCTACAGAATACTTCGGTATTGTCACCGTTGTGTCTTCATATTGACGGTAATAACACGACATAGTTACGTTTGTGTTTTTGCACTTGACAAAGTATTTTACATTTAGCGATTAAAAATTAACATAATTGTGACATTTGTTTAATGTATGTCTAAAACGAGCAACTGTTACTAGTGCCTAATCAGGTTTAGTCATTTTTGCACAGCTGATTCTAGTCGAGATTAGAGATGGACATTGTTGCAGATCGGCAACAATCGTAGTTCACATTATGTTTATACATATATATATTAAATAGAAAAAGCATGTATTTACATTGACTACATAACACCTTTCATATAATTTTAGATTTATACTTTTTTTTCATATATTGAAAGAGTATTTTGGTTTGATTTTTATGTTAACGCCGGTGTCAACGAAGAACTTATTTAAATGTATCGATATATTGTAATTGAGCGTACAACATTTAGCAGTCTGGCAACGCTTATCTGGACATCGGCGTTTTTGTTTATATTGTTTGTTGGCAATTTCCATTTAACAAGTGCTGACGAACAGGAGTTTGATGATCTTCAACTAAGCAATGTCACTGCCCATGCACTTAAGCGTAGCAATAATAACAAGCAAAGCATAAAAGAAGTGACTCAGGCTAAAATGGGGTTTCTAGGCGACTGTGTAATCGTGTTCGTGTCGCAGGCAAGCGGCTTTATTCATGCTTTAAATGATTCGTATTACAAACGCCATTTATTTTGTTTTCCAGATGCTGTTCTTTGCCGGCGGCTGGCTGTTCTTCAATAAGCAACTTTTTAAACACTATGAAATCCGTCACATATCTGTACAGTTGATATTCTCCTCAACATTTGCGTTGTCCATTACCATGTTCGAGTTAATCATATTTGAAATTATTGACGTATTGGAATCAAGTTCCCGTTATTTCCATTGGCGTCTGGGACTGACCCTTTTGTTGGTCATGGTTACCGCCGTGATACCTGTCTACATTTGCTATTCTGTGATACACAGTATTTCCTTCTGTAAGGCAAATACCTAACAAACTTTAAGACGTACTACAATTGATTCGATTTCTCGCCGCAGTCTCCGATAGATGGGTCCGCATTTTGACTACACTCTGCTGGTTTGTCTTCCTTTACGGACTTTGGCGCATCGGTGAACCATTCCCGCTGCTCAGCGCATCGCATGGCATCTTTACAATAGAACAGGGAGTGTCACGCATTAGTGTTATTGGTGTAACTGTCATGGCCATCCTCTCCGGCTTTGGTGCTGTTAATTATCCATACACTAGCATGACCTATTTTATCAAGTACCCGTCGAGCCCACTCATACAACTGTAGGCTTATCTGATTTTCGACTAATTGGTTTGTTTTTATTGCAGGCCCGTTTCGCGAAATGACATCATATGTTTTGAGCGCCGATTGACTCTGACTATCGACATGTTGACGGCTAAAAAGAGGCGCATTGCAATGGCTGTCTATAATCATAATAAACAGCATCCCACGAAGCCTCGAATTTGGGATATGCTCACCTCAGCAGTGCATCGCACAAATATCGATGGGGAGGGTAATGAAATTGATTCGATATTGTACTCTATCATCTTTTTTATTTATTTATTTATTTATTTTTTTTTTTGTAGATATTAATCAGCTAAAACTCGAAGTTTACGGCTTAGAAGAGTTGCAACGATCTATTTTTCTAGAGCTAAATTCGCTCAAAAACATGGAAGAGCGTCAACGCTGGTCGCAAACACTGCAGGGAAAATACTTTAATGTGCTGGGTCATTTTTTTAGTGTCTACTGTGTCTATAAGATATTTATGGTTAGTAATGTAAAGATATACAATTTTAGTCACTTGTAATTTGTGATTTATTTTTACAGTGCTGTATTAATATAATATTCGACCGCGTTGGCCGTAAGGATCCGGTGACGCGTGGCCTAGAAATAGCTGTGCACTGGTGTGGCTTTGATATAGATTTGGCTTTCTGGAACCAACATATATCCTTCCTCCTGGTTGGCTGCATTGTGGTTACATCTATACGTGGCCTGCTGCTCACGCTCACAAAGGTACGTGATTTGTTAAGTTAAAATGTATTTCAATAAACTTAATTGTTTCTTTGCAGTTCTTCTATCGAATTTCTTCCAGCAAATCAAGCAACATTATTGTATTGATTCTGGGTCAAATAATGGGCATGTATTTCTGCTCATCAGTTCTGCTGATGCGCATGAATATGCCAGCCGAGTATCGCGTGATTATTACAGAAGTCCTTGGCAATTTGCACTTCAATTTCTACCATCGTTGGTTCGATGTCATATTTCTGGTCAGCGCCCTGACTACCATTATTGTCTTGTATTTGTCGCGCAAACCGGTTCGCGTGGACGATACAGACTTGAATTAAACCAAAAGAGAGTAAAGATCATGATATGTTATGATAAGCTAGGCACAATTCAGTTAAACATATTTAATGCAAGCTTTATGTTATAAAGATATATGTCTAT